AGGAGGCTGAAGACCAGGGCACAGATGTTCAGGCACTTGGCGGTGGACGCGTAGCTCTGGGCCCCAATCATGTCACCCACCATCTTCCGGTCTCTGGACTGGGGCAGATGAGATGTGGAGGTTACCTGGGAGGGGCCTGCTGGGAGCCTGGAGCTGATGGGGGGACCCGGGTATCCTCGGGGCAGTCTGGGGCACCCTCCCCCAGCATGCTTCCCGAAGCCCCGCTAAGGTGGTTCCTGACCACTCCTTGCTGGGGCAGGGCATCCTCACAGCCCTCATGACCCCCGGGGCACTCCAGGTTCATCTGCATTGACCACTGCTGGGGTCCCATCTTTGTCCCCTCCCACGGGTCCCCTAGGAGAGGGCTGAGTCCGAGGCAGCCTGGGAGCCTTTGCCAAGGGGCAGGGTGGGCACAGCTCTTCTGAAACACCGCACACACTAACGCATGCACGTGACATGCACACCCGCACATGCTTTCACATAGACACACGAGAACATACACACCACCAGCAAGTGCACACACGCAGGCCCCACTGGACAGACCCGCACACACTAACACTAACACAGGCATACATATACACACACACAGGCCCCTGGCAGGCCCCACGGGACAGAGGACACCCAGTGCACCCTCGCAGCAGAGTCCCCCTGGCTGGTGCCCCAGGGCCACACACCTTCACGGAGTAGGCGAACGCCACGAAGCCCAGGCAGAAGATGTTCAGGAACACCGTGTTGAAGAGGGACCAGACCACGTGGTCGGGCACGGAGACCTCGCTGCGGATGCTGATCACGGTGGGCGCCGGGCCCGGGGTGGGGGGCGCCCCCAACACGTCCACCTCGTGCTCCTCCTTGAGCACCTGGTAGGTCGGGGGCGGCCCGGAGGCGCGCGGGAGGAAGGGCTGGGGCGCGTGGTTCATGTCGCCGAGGAGGACCCGCCGTGCCCCGGGTCGGTGGAGCCTGGACTGAGGTCGCTCTAGCTCCCTTCCTAATCACGGGGAGTTCCCGTTTCCCAGAAGTTTCGGTTTCCGGGCTTTGGAGCACAGAGGCTTGGAGGAGGAGACGGGCGGGAGGGGGCGGGGAATGGAATTGGAGGCGGGGCCGGGAGAGGGGAGTAGGATGCCCGGGGCCACCTCGATTTCTGCTTCTTCGCGCGGTATGGGTGGGTCTTGGAGCAGGACTGGGAGTTGCCTCTCCGGGAGCCCAGCCTGCTGCAGGTCGTGCCTTGCCTCACAAACACTTTTCGGGTCCCCATTCCCAGACGCCCTGGGGGCCTGGTCTCAGAGGGAGGTGGGCCCCAGCGGAAGCGATGTGCCCGCCTGCCCCCCCACCTTCACCACCACCTCTTCCCACCTGGGCCCACCACCAACCCGGCACGCGGGGGTCCCCCGCTTCTGAACCATGGGCTGCGCCCTGCTCGGCAGCACTAGGTCTCCCACAGATCAGCCCTTTCCTAGGCTCTCACCAGGCTCCCGTGGGCTGCAGGCGGGGGTCTCGAGTCCGTTGTGTCCCCTCCCAAGCAGCTAGTCCTCTAGATCCAGGATAGGTGGGGGAACACACCGTCAGCAGAGCTGCCCACCCCCCATCCTACTGGGCCCTCAGCCTCCTAATATGGGCTGTGGGACTCCAGGGCTCTTGTCCAGAGCAGGGCACCCCACTGTGAGGGCAGAAGCAGGGTCCAGCATGAAAACTGCCAATGGAGAAAAAGCTGCTGGCAGCAGCAGGCAGGATCTGCTACTGTCCCCTGCGATGGGGTGTGTTTGTGCCAGAGGGCCCCACAACCGAGACCAGCCTGAAGGCTGGTCATGGAGAGGGTCCCCAGATGCCCTGCGCCTCAGATTCCCAGGAGCCTGCCCCTGACCTCTCTCTGCAGGGAGTGGAGGGGCCATGTGCAGCCCCTTTTCCTGTGGCCCAACTAGCAGGCTTCCCCAAGACACGTTACAGAGTCAGAGTCCCTGCACCCCTGTGTGAGGCCCAGAGGCATCCTGCGTGGACTGGACACAGAGTCTCTTGTCCCACCAGAACCTACCCTATCCCGGGGCTCAGACCTGGTGGCCAGAGGGGCCCCAGTCAAGCCCCCCTCCAGCTGTGGTCTCACTTCACTTGAGGCCTGAAACCCCGGCCTGAGGACAGGACCGGCTTCGTCAGCCAAGCCTCAGCTCGGCTCAGGCACAGGCTGGACAGAGGACAGGGGGCCTCCCTGGCAACATGACAGCACCATCACGGACACCTGCGGTTCTCAAACTGTGGGTTGAGACCCCTTTGTGGGTCGAATGGTCCTTTCACAGGGGTCACCCGAATCATAACAGTAGCAAAATGACAGTTATGAAACAGCAACGAAAATAATTTTATAGGGGGGGGATCACCACACATGAGGAACTGTATGAAAGGGTCGCAACATTAGAAAGGTTGAGAACCACTTACATAAGTGGACACTTTAGGGACATGGTTTATTGTCAGGTACACGTGGGCAAACCACTGAGAACAGAGGGTGGAGGGCCAACAGAGTAGACGCCGGACTAAGGGCTCAGGACACAGCATCACGCAGCAACTAGTAGCCATTACGTCTCATCATCTGTGACAGGGCGTGTATGCTGATCACTGTGCCCATGGCGAGAAGAACGATGAGCCCGATGGTCAGCAAGAGACCGATGACCAGGGCACAGATGTTCAGGCACTTGGCGGTGGACGCGTAGCTCTGGGCCCCAATCATGTCGCCCACCATCTTCCGGTCCCTGGACTGGGGGAGACAAGATGTGGAGGTTACCTGGGAGGGGCCTGCTGGGAGCCTGGAGCTGATGGGGGGGACCCAGGTTCCCCACCCCCCAGGTCCTCTGCCCTCAGTGCAGCCTCCCCCAGGCTTTCCCCTCCATGGGGACCCCCACTGAGCCCTGGCGCCCCAGCAGGACAGTTCTACCCCTCTTTCTGCTGGGGTGGGGCCTTCTCCTAGCCCCTCAGCGCCAGCCTGGAGCTATGGGCTTGTCTCCCTCTGCTGAGGTCCTAGTGCTGCCCTGCCACCGCCCCCCACCCCCAGGTCCCCGAGTGAGAGCACTGGGTGTTAAACCAGGTGAGCACCTGCCCCAATGTCTCTCTCAGGTTGGGAGGGAGGGAAAATGCCTTGGGGAAGAGACTAAGCTTGGCCAACCTCAGGCCGGCAGGTGACCACAGACAGGAGCTGAGGGGCCCTTCCCAAGACCCACGCAGACAGGAGCCAGACAGGCAGCACAGTAGTCTGCAGAATGCCCGCACACACGGATGCACGCACACACAGTCACACACAGGGCATCTACACACGGGACACACGCAGGGCGCACACAGTCTGTTGCTTGCCCCTGCCACCTGCGCCCAGGGCACTGTGAGGACACGCTGGGTCCCCAGTGGAGAAGCCGCACCTTCACGGAGTAGGCGTAGGCCACGAAGCCCAGGCAGCAGCAGTTGAAGAAGAGCGTGTTGAAGAGGGACCAGACGACGTGGTCAGGCACGGAGATGTCGCTGCTGCGGATGTTGATCACGGTGGACTGAAGGGGGGCGGCATTGTAGGGGGGCCCCAGCATAGCCACCTCGTGCTCCTCCTTGACCATCTTCTGGGTTTGGGGGTGCAGCCAGCACTAACTTGAAGGCAGTTGGTAGTGGGGTAGGTAGAGCTGGAACCAGGTTTAGGAGGCCCGGATGCTGGGGGCGGTCCTAACTGGGGATTCGCCCCTCTCAGACTCAGTGGTTTCCTTTTCTGGTAAGTTTCTGTTTCCTGAGCACACCAGCAAGGGGCTCATTGCCCCACAACACCCCCCCCACCCTCCTCCTAGTTTCCTCCTCACAGTGTGGGTGGGTCCTGGAGACTTTCTCTGACCTGGGAGTTGGGCCAGGTCCTCCCCACCCCCATCCTCATGTGTGGTCGATTCTTTAAGTCCCCTGAAGAGGCCAGCACACTCACTCCCTGACCCTCCACCCCTGCAGGGAGGTGGACCCTTCTCCCAAGCCTGCAGATCCCCACCTCACCCAGGCTTGGCAGCATGGGAAGAGAGGTGGGCCTTGGGTGTGGCTCAGGACCATGGCTGGCTCCCAGCCCTCCCAAGGCCCCTGGGAACTGGAGCTGGCTGGGTACCTGCTGACAAGAGCAGGACCTCTGCGCCTCTCCTGCCCTAGAGGCAAGGGGACACAGGGATCTCCCAGACCCGCCCCGATTCCCTCCTCAGCCACTGAGAAGCGGGCACTCAGTGTGCTTCGCTGGGCACTTACTCCTGAGCCGCTGATGAGAGCGCTAGCTCTGTGGCTGACCTAAGGGGCTTGACGAGGCACCCCCCCAGCCGCGTCCGCTCCCAGTGTCCCCGCAGGACAGGGGTGAACCACCCCAGTGGGTGTCTGGGACTGTCACTCAATGGGAATGGAGCAGCTGGTGGTGTCCAACTGCTTGACCGAGAGGTGAGCTGCCCAGCCTGCCCCCACCTCATCTCAGGCCCCTGTGCCTCTCCCTGGCATCCATGACCTGCAGCAGCCCTTCCTACTCTCCCTGTAAGCTCTTTGTCAAAGCCACCAGGGACCTCCTCCCTGGGCCAGCCGGTGGGCTGCTCTCTAGCCTGCCCTGGCCAGCTGACGCCAGCCCCCCTCCACACAGCCCTTGCTGATTCCTGGGACCAGCTTTTGTGTTCCCTCCCGCCTTGCCTGGCTCCTTTGTGGCGCTCCCCTTTGGCCACCTCTATGCTGAAAGAGCTCCTGCGTAGCCCTGGTGGCCTTGGGCTGTGGTGCGCAGCAGGTGTGGGACACCCCCACTTCTGCAGACTTAGAGAGAAGATGCAGTGCCAGCTCCTTTGTTGGCTGCTGTCTGCCACACGCTGCAGTGCCAACATGTGGGACAGATGGAGTGGAGCCGGGAGGCGCCCCCAAAGTACTTTTCTTTTTCTTTTTTTTATTGTGTAGCCCCGGAAAACCAGGGCACCAAAAAATTGGTTAAAGACTCATAACTGTTCTTCTCCACGGAAATCTTTAGTAAAAGGCGAAAGATTTATACGATCTGAAGAGAAACGAGAGCATCCAAAGTACTCTTCTATGGGGGTATTGTCTTCCTGGTTTCAGGGATGGTTGTCGTGGCCACACACGCTCCTCCTGCCCCTCCCTTGAGACCACCATCCATGGACAGAGCCCATCCAGCCCTCCCACCTCCCCACCCAGCATCCCTCGCCCTCCTGGGGGGCATACTTCTCCTGGCTGTGGCCCTGCCAGCAGCTAGTAAGCCGTGACAAGTCAAGTCCACATTGGCCATTCTCCTGCCTGGCTGCGACAGAGACCTCCAGTTGCAGACACCAACTCCAGCCACCAGCCCCAGCACATCCTCTTTCTTTTTTAGGAGAGAGTGTGAACGCAATCCCCCACTACCACAAATTATGCAGTCAGTCGAGTTTCCCACATTTGGGGAAACCACAGGGGTCAGCACATCCGGAGTGCACTGGATAAGCCTCGCCCTGGGAAAACCACCTTGCCAAGTAAGTGCACACATCCTCCTTCTTGAGTGTCACTTCTTCATGGGCAGCAGGCCTGCTCCTCCCCGCCAGGGCCACTGTCCAGGATCTCAGGCCATCTCCTCACAAAGACCGGGAGCTCTGGTCCCCAAAGAGGCCTCAGCCCTCTCTAGCCTCCTGCAGCTTGGCCCTGTGTGTCCCACAGAACCCCCAGAAGAGCACCCTCCCGGGGATCAGGGGGCTGGCACCCTTTCCTAGGGCTGGCACCTCTTCCTTCTCTGGCGAGACACCTCCCAGGGAGACAAACCTTGCTTCTCCAACAGGTTGGCAGTTGCCTGGCTCAGCTGGCCCTCCCTGGCCCTGAAAAGCCATCACACGCCAGCATCCAGCCTCCTGTGAGCCGGTGCACAGGGCTCAGCGGCTCAGCCGCCCTTCGCTGTGGTCAGTTGGCTCTGCACGTGGACGCAGCAGTGGGCGCTTCGACAGAGGGTCTGTTCAGTGACAGCTTGGCCTGGTCACGGGCAGCCAGGACACAGGAGCCTCACCCTGAAGGGGCCAAGGAGTTTCCAGATGCACCCCACCCCCATGGACCCTGGAGGACAGAGAGAGACTTGGGAAGGACTGGTACCACGAAGCCAAGCCTCATGGGGAAGGGAGGGGGTAGGACCCCAGAGAAGGAACAGGGCCCCTCTGGGGTCAGTGGTGGCCAGAAGCAACATCAGGAGTCCCGGAGGAAGCCACAGAGGTGCCTGCGAACCCAACTGCAGTTGGGGGGCTGGAAGTTTGTGAAAGAGGCCAGCAAAATCTGGCTGGGGCTCAAGAAAAGTGCCCTCTGTGGGTGTCAGGAACTTCTGCTTGGGGGGAGACACTTCTCTGGATACCCTTCCCCAATTGCTTGCCTCCCAGCTGTGCTGAGCCCAGCCCTGAGCTTGACCCTCAGCCCCCGCCTGCTGTCCAGCCTGTAGCCTAGCCGTGGGTTTGGAGGGTGTCTGTGCGCTGGAAACATGAAAGCCTGAAGCCCCCGAAAGAAGAACAAGGAAGAATTTCCAGATGGCGGTTGCTGAGCATCCTGCCAAATGGGGCGGGCCCTGCTTCCCAAGGAGCCCTTACCCAGGCCCATGGAGCAGACTGGTCCCCGGAAGAGAGCGCCCAGCCAGAGCACAGGTGTTGAGCGGTGGGTGCCCCAGTGCCATGCCCTGTTCTGTCTGTTCAGGGTCACGCTCCAGTTGGCCACACAGTGGGAGAGAGGCCCCTCCAGGAGGGCCTCAGAGCATTGGGGGCTTGTGTGGACGCACCACAGGCAATGGGGGACACAGCCAGCCTGAGCCTGGTGCTGGGGCGGGGGTGGCCGTGGTCTGGTGTGATTTTCCTCCAGAAGATGGTGGTGGTGACTGCAGCGAGGACAGATGTGGGCCGCAGCTTGGCTGGGTGCCAGCAGGAGGTCAGGAGAAAGGAGAGTGCCCGAGTCCCTGAGGGCAGGAGGCTCCTGGCTTCTTGCCACCCAGCTCTGCCCTCCAGGAGCGGCTCCACTCTCTTCTCACCCGCAGGCCTGGGCTGGGGAGCAGCGGCCTGGAGGCACCACGCGCTCTGCTCCTCCCAGCCCCTTGCTGGCTCGCCTCCTGGCTAACCTTCAGCCCCTGCTGCTCACCACCACCCAGAGGCCCTCCTGCCCACCAGCTGAACCCTGAGTGTGACCACGTGACTAGGTGAGGTGGTGGACTGGTGTCACTCCCGACTCCCCACACTCCCCTGCTCCTGCTCACAACCTCCCCACCCCCAGAGCCTGTGCTGGGAGGAGCCTCCAGCCTGGGTCCCTGAGTGACCACTGGACATGGACCTCCACCCCCCCACCCCCCACCAAGCACTCATGGCCGGCCAGGCAGCAAAGTTCCCTCAAAGGTCACTGGTGCCGGTGGGGTGTTGGTGCTCCTGGTTCTGGCTCGTGGCAAACCTGTATGCAGAGAACTCCCCCGTGGGGTCTTCAAGGCTGTGCCTGTGCAGAAACACGTGGCCCAGCCTCCCTCCCCAGCTTCAGACTGGCAGGGGGCTAGAGTAAGGCCACAGGGGGTTGTCTCCACCAAATGCCTGCACTACATGGAAATTAGCTGTCTGCGCCACAATGAAAGGGTTGGAAAGAAATCAGGGACACTAATTAGACATTTATGAGGAGATCCAACCTGGGCCCACACACAATGCTAGGCACCAACCACATGACATCCCCCAGGTATGCTTAAACTCAGCCAATAAGATTGGCCAATACCCTCAACCATGCCTCCCCAGCTGGTGGGCATAAATAACAGGCTGAGGGCAGGGCAGTCTCACTTCTCTTGCCCCATGTGTGCTGCGAGTGGAGGGTGAGATTCTCCCTGTGGGAGGGCAGGCGGACACGTAAGGACCTGCGTGCCCACTTGCGGCCCCGCTCACTCTCTGGGGATTTGCTGCTCTTGGTTCCTGCTCCGCTCTGCTCCTCACACTGGCCCCACACTCCTGGTCCAGCAGTCCTCCCCCTGCTTTTCTGAGCTCCCCTGAAACAGCCACCTTCCGTTCTGAGCTCTCCATCTGCAGGCTTTCCAGAAACAGTGTGTGCTTTTTGGAGACCGTAATTCCTGAAACTTTTCTTTTCTCTCATAAAAGTTGCTTGGATTTACAAAAGTGCTTCTCCGCGTGAAGTGAATTCTTTCAGCGCTGCGAAGTAAGAACCGAGGCCAACCACTCTAGAGCCCTAACAAGACTGCCAACCTTCAGCTCAGGGTCCAGCTCACCGCCCTCTGTGCCACTCGTGCTTCTGGGACCGCCGCTTGTCGCCACAGCACAATCTAACCCATCCGGATGGTGTGGAGAGCGCTCCGGTACCATTAGCAACATTTGCACAGTATCACTGGCCAAGGGCCAGGTAGCCACACAGACACTCCTGGGAGCAGGAGGGGGACAGCTCTGAAAGGGTCCAAAGGGGCGGTGGTGTAATTGAGGGCTGCATTAAAGAGACAGCAGACAAGATAAGGCATGCCAGGCCTCACCTCCTCTGGAATGACCGGAACCAGAATGAGACGGGCTTTATTCTCTCACAGACCTGGGGCACACTGGCCACAGTATGCACGTACGGAACAGGAAGGGGCTGTACCTAACAGGAGGGGATGAGCTGGGG